ATTGGCTCTTGGATTACGTGGTGGTTTGCTTGGAGCGATAAGATGAAATGGAGTTGACTACGCGATTGAAAAAAAAATCATCTGAACTAAATCAACATGTCGTTGTGGATCAATAAGGCAGAGACATTTTGTTGGCGTGCCATGCCGAGGCCCATTCAATATTAAGATGTGTCTTTTGCATAATACCAAATTTACCACCCACTCGAGCAACTTAATAAGCGCTGTTTATAATTGATATAGAAGAATACATAAAATATCCGCAACAAAATATTTCTGTTGAGTGGGAAAATCTTAAGCATTATCTTTGGAAACAAGAAATAGTATCGTTAATTAAATGTATAGAAGTTTGTACATTATCACATAAGGAAGACTAATTTTTCCGGCATATATTGATAATAATATTTTAATTAAACTAAATATTTGTTTGATTTTTGTTGGCCTGCCTTAAACGTAAACGATTTAACCGCGCTTTCCGTTAATTCGACGTAGATGGTTTTTGTAAAAGTATCGTAAGCCTGAATAGATATCCGGCGCCAAATCCTCGGTAGATATACAAGCATGAAGTTTTTGTATTGAAGTGAAATAAATGGCTGCCAGAAAACCGTAAATATTCCTTATTTACGTAAGGGAAAAAATTGCTTTAAAAGGAAAAATACCCCTCAGTCATTTGCACCAAGTGTCTTCCGTGTAATGACAAGAAAACGAAGTTCTCATACTCATTAATAATTCATGAGGAAACCAGTCAATCAATGGCCTATTTTTGGGTCACATGATGTTACTTGAAACCTGGTAAAGTCATGTGAAAGGACTGCATTCAGTCTGTAGTAACTGGAACAAAATTAATTCAGTCCTAGGACTGAATTAATCAAAATAAATTCAGTCCTAGTCGAATAATAATAAGCATGTAAAGTCATTTCAAAGCCTCCAATATCGGACTGGACGGGATTTCAAGTCAGCGCAATTATTTCCAAACTAATTGCTTATGGCCTTGAAATCCCGTCCAGTCCCATTGTCGGCTTTGAAATATTACTTCTCATGGAGTGCTCTGTTCAGTCGGTCTTCAGAAAGCAGTAGCTACGGAGGGTATTCAGGTCTATTATATACTTTAGTACTTTTTATACTTTTTATACAATTTATTTTGTCTATATTTCATTACGTTAAAATTTTCAGCATATTATATTATTTGTTAATGGAAATAATAATGTATGAGAAATAGAGTGGGCGTCCGATATTTCAGCGCCATGTCTCGTGTTAATAATCCTCATCRGTGATGACAGCAAATCTTCATTAATAGTTCCCAGCAGCAGAGTCATCACATGGTGAACGTGATTCACCAAATTCCGATATTTTGTTCTCAAATTAAACCGTTATTGACTAAGTATGACACTTGATAGCCTGAACAAACCTTTTCTAGGAGAAAAATGTCTCAAAATTTTGAGGAAATTCAGGGATCATGCCCTTTTTTCCCTCCAGTAGAAAATTTGCGCTCAAATGTGGCATGGCTTAAATAATCTTAACAACAGTTCTTGTTTCTACTGTGAACATTGTACTTGAAATTTTAGATCTGCCACTGCGTTAGGCTGAGACCTTAGATTTCGTTAGACTGGGCATGACATTGAAAAGTACCAGAATGATGTGTAAGGGAACGGACAAAGAACTCAGTGTTTGCAATTAACTCAGCGGTTGGGCGAGAATAGCAAAATAAGATGACAATTTTCTAGAGAGATAGGAATAAAAAACCGTTCAATTTGTATTGTTTAGGGGAGGCATATGGCTCTCTATTTTACATTCTAATTATTTTAACGAAAGTGCTGTGCAACAAGTATTTTTGTTTGTGTTCAACCAACCTCGTTTAGCCGGACGATTACAGTTTTAATGAGCTCCCCCTCCCCTCCCCCCCACGGTAAAAAAACAAATGGTCCCTAATATAATGTAATGTAAGCAATTGCAAGCGTATGATATATATATAACATATTGGCACAGATAGCCTTAAGAGAGAGGACGGATGCAAGCAATGGAATGAGAATGAATAACGAAAAAAATTTATAATTTATAAATATAATGGAAAAAGTAAAGAGATAAACCGCTAAACAAATAACACTATAGAAGTAAGAAATTAACAATCGGCAATTTTTTTTCAATATCTAACAGAACAATTATTCTCCGAAGGCGAAGTGAATATCGGGGAATATTTACCGAGACGCGAGTCTTCGAGCTGCGAGGTAAATATTCTCCGATATTCACTGAGGCTGGGACAAATAATTGTTTTAGTATGAATACACAGGTGATTCTTTCAAAAAAAGAAGAAAAAAAAAGAAGATAAAAGACTTTTTTCTGGTAAAAGCAACAAAGCGGCTGGTCGCCATTTTGGATTATCGCTGGAGGTGATTATCGTGTGATAGTGTGAGTTTCTCGACCAATCAGCGCGCGAGATTTTCAATAATCACCTGTGTATTTTTATTAAAGGCAATATATTTAAGGAGAGGAACAAAGACGGGAAGAGCAAATGATTAACATTGATCCGAGAACACTTGAACATCCATAAATAAATTTCAATTGAAATTGCTAAGAAATTCCTCTGTGACGTTTCTGTGAATTTGGAGTTTATTCTGTAGTTAGAAGATAGATTGATATATAAGATACAATTCTATGATAGCTTTCAAGATAATATTGATGAAGGCTTTACATGCAATGATCTATTATGACTTGAAGAAGATGGTGATGATATTCTGGACAGCCTAAAGCCAATAACTGATTCGAAATCAGTCACTTAGGAGCAAATACGGCAACGCTCATTGTGGTCCAAGAAACATTAAACTGGCTTGATGACAGTAATTTAGTATTGTTTAGTCTTAGGAAATTRTTTATTTTTCTTTTAGCTCCTTAGTTACAAAGTTCATCATGGGAACCTTTAATGAAGGTTATCATTATCGTAAAAATGAAAATGAACAAAAGCAGCAGAATTGCAATTCTATGTGGGAATTGGTTTTCTCACGATCGTACTTCGTAATAGTTTTTGAAATTCTTTCACATTAAAATTTTCGATTCCTTAGAGAATACAATAGTCATCATTAAAGAACAAAAGCCAATGTGAAAAGGATTATGGTCTAGAGACGGGGGTAAAACGTCATCTCGCTTCAGGCTTATTGTATGTGGGAATCGGTTTTTCTAACGATCGTACTTCATGCATTTAATTTCAAGGACCCTAAATATGTCTCAGTCTAGCTGTTTGAATCGCTTAATCTTGTTTTTGTGAAGAGATACTGATGGCTTATCGAAAGTTTATCACATTCTAAGAACTATTTCATTATTGCATTTTTAAGCTTCTGCTAATGATGTATAATAATTAATACTAATCCCTTTCAGTTTTCCTTATCATATAGCATTTGGTGGACAGTTACCTTTTAGTGTCACCTAGACACATCAATCTTACTTGCAATTGTTAAATTCAATATCCACTGAACTTTTAGAATTCCTGTTGAACACTGATGTATCCACTTGGAGTTGATATCTCAACATAGTCCTTTGCATACAGCTTGCTTCTATTTGTATGCTTATCATAACCACTGTGCATTTTTAATACCGATACATCTCCTCCTACTCTGTCAAGTCTCCTTCTAGAAAGTTTTTAAGTACCAATTTGCGATTATTTCCAAGTAGTTAGCCCATCAGGCTTTGATCTTGGAAGTCGAATTAAATGATAAAGATCTTCATTCAAGCAGCGATTCGTGACTTTTATATGATGCATCTCCTTTATTAAAGCGAAGTAGCTTTTCGATAAAGACACTCTAGTGCTCGAGAAAGCGACGTCAAGACTGACCATTAAACTCGAAAAGCACAAATTGGTTTTTGGTTCCAAGAAGTCCAAAAAATCGACCAAGCTTATCGTTTTGCAAGATATCCCTCAGATTCAAACCGATTCGTGAATTTTTGGAATCGAATCTAATCATAGTTAGTAAATTAGGAAATAAATAAGAATGATGAAGGGTCATCACATGTGGGTAGAGTTTGTTAGGTCCATCCAAAGGCTTTGGTCCATTTGGGTTTCTCTGCAGGCCTCTCAGTTTTGTTTTATATAAAACCTACAACACGCTAATCTCCAATTCCATATATCTGTTTGTTAGCCATTCCCTGACTTTGRTCGGCCTAAATTGTTGAACTAGTGATAAAATTTTAAGGATTGAAGAACGATTGAATGAATATTTGGATGAATGAATGAATGACAACTTTATTTAAAAGCGGTAATTACATTCAATTAAACAATTGGTTTTCAAGTAAGCCGTTGATAGATTATAGATACTGGATAGAGATACTCGCTGCAAATGAAAGGAGCAAACTTAGAATAAAAGAAAAGAAAAGTTTGTGGTATGCGCGCCATAGAAATAACTTTAAAGCGCCTTAGAATTTTTGTATTTGCGTTATTATTATTATTATTATCATTATTATTATTAA